AGAAAAAAATTATTAAAAAAAAAAGAAAAAAAAGAAAAGCCCCAAGAAATTAAGAAAAAAGTGGCGAGGGGGAGAAGAGGAGGAGGAAGCAGAGAGGCCGAAGGGCCCCGAGGCCCCGGGTATGCCAGCGGTGCCATGGTGGGCAGTGGCCTCAGGCTCGGTGACGCAGCGGGTGTTTCGTCTTCTCGGCAGGGCTGGAGCAGAATGCCAAGCGCCTTCCCTGGGGCTGGGGAGCAAAACCCAGCTCCTCTTTTCGGCCAAAGCTTTCTGCGTTACGGACTCCTCGGCCGAGGTGGGGTGGGAGGGCTCGGAGTGCCAGCAGCATTGCACCAGACTTCACCCTTGGCACCTTGCTGCAGCTGCCCCCGGCCTGCTGGCAGCCTCGCTGGTGTCCCGTGGGTGCTGCTGGGCTGGGTGCAGGGGCTCTCGCCGTGCCAAACCCCGGCCCCTCCACCGGCCTCTGCTTGTGGCTCCCCTGGGACACAGGGACAAGTGGTGACAGAGAGACTGCTGACTGTGGAGGAAGAGGGGTTCTGCTGATTTAAACCCTCTGGACGTGAAACCCCAAACCTGGACCCTCCAGGGCGAAGGGGACAGCCACTGTGCCAGGAACCCAGGGTGCAATTAATTCCTTCCCCCCGTTTGCCCCCCCAGGAGAACCCAGGACTTAAACCCCAGGAGAGCCCCTCTGGGGTGCTAATGGTGCTGATATCCCCCCTGATTTTGCACCCCAGGGCCCTGCAGGGGCTCTGGCGAGGGCTCAGACGGGGTGATGCGGCGACCATAGCAACCCCTCTGCATTTCTGGTGTTTTGGTTTTTTTTTTTTTTTTTAATGAGGTTTTGTGCCGAGGTCTGGAAGCACGAGGGGTGCGTGGGGGCAGCGGTGCCCAGGGGGGATCCGAGGCCATTTTGGTGGTCTCTGCATAGCAAAACCCCCGCAGTGCCTACTGGTGAGCCAGGCACCAGCCCGGCAGGGCTGCGGGGCCTGGGCTGAGCCGAGGGAGATGCCAATAAACAGCCTGAGGATCAGCCCGTCTTGCCTCTCTGTCACCCTGCTGCGGCAGAGAAGGGGCTGGCAGGATGCGTCCGTCTGTCCTGCTCCCCCAGCCGGGCTTGTGTCGGCCCTACAGGACCGGGGAAGGAGCCGGGCAGAGGGTGCCAGGGGCTGCAGTGCCAGGATCGGGCCCAGAACAGCGTGGGGAGCTGTGATGGCCGTATCCCTGTCTTTCCATCCCGGAGCAGTGGGGTCTGTGGTTGGAAGGAAAGGGGACCCAGTGGTGGGATAGGGGAGGAGGGAAGTGACCCCACTGCACCGGGTGCTTTTGGCATCGCCAGCACTGGGGATTTCTCCCGGGGCGGTTTGCAGCCACCCTGCTCTGCCCTTCAGGCCTGGCAGGAAAATCCAGGTGATGCGCTTGGGTTTCATCGCCCGTCACCCCTCTGGCAGCAAACAGCGTGGGTCTGGAGCCGAGGGCTGGGGAAGGCTCAGCCTGCCGGCAGCGCCAGCAAAGCACCAGCACCCGCTTCCTTGGCCGGGGGCTGTTCTCTCACCGGGGGCTACCAGAACTGGGAGCTGTGGGGTCTGCACAGCCCCTTGCTGCAGGACCCCGCTGCTGGCAGGGTGGGGGCTTGGAGCCCCTTGCAGGCACGTGCTCGGACCCTCCCCCCCGGCCTGAGCGAGGGTCTGGGGCTGCCAGAGGGAGCGTTTTGCAGGCACTGCATTCGGGGACCGCTTGGAGCTGGGGGTGCATGACCCAGTGCTGCAGCCCCCCCTTCAACCATCCCCTGGGTTGGGAGAAACCGTGGACGCTGCCGTGGCATCACTCCCGAGCTCCGGCCACTGGCAGAAGCACGGTCCCCACCTTGGCGCATCGTGGTGGCCCTGGAGCCGGCGGGGAGCAGAGGGCATTTCTGGCAGGTGACTCATCTGACCTACTTCAGAGCTGGAGCCAAAGGGAGAACGCACCCAGGAGTGCCCGTCCCCTCCCTGGGCAGCGAAGGGAGCCCTGATGCCTCGCTCGGGTGGAGACATTTGCATGGGGGGGGGGGGGGGTGTCTGCGTTTGGCCGGACAAATCCTGCCCCTCGTTTGCAGCCTGGCTCCAGCCCCAGGTATCCTAGCTTGTGCAAGAGAGACCTTCCTGCCACCAGGGCTGGGACG